ACTCAAATGTGATATCCCACTATGCTATTAATACAGTGAAGTGTATTTGTCTGAGTAAGTTCTGGTGTTCGCAAACACTACTTTAACTCACAAAAGAAAATCTAATGAAAATACTATGAGATGGCTGAAATGTTATTTAAAATATGTTTTGCATTTCCTGTAATATTTAGCTTTGATATCAGCCTGCTACTTAATCATGTTCATGCACGTAGCGCATGCATTCATACTTGATTAGTTATGAGTTCAAATGTGATGGCAAGATAGTGAGCAGAGGCAAAATTAATGGCTCAAAAACATTGCAATCGTGGCTCCAAACTGGAACTATTGTGAACCAGGAGTACCCCTTTTTCATCAGATTAACTCTGGTTTTTGAACCAGTTCTATTCAAGATTCAACAAACAATAAATAATCTTATTAGGAATAAACCTGCCTCCTGCATAAACTGTCTGTAGCTGAATAGGGTCGGCCTACATTACTGTATTTTAACATCAGTCATAATGGTGGTTCTTTTCAGAGCCAAATATTTCCATTGGTGGTATATTGTGTAAAATGTTTGAGAAATATTGTCTTAGACAATAATGAATGCACATTCTACTTCTGTTACTTGTGTGTGAACCATACAAGGCTGCTGTCACACATTAAGCGTTTTCACACAAGGACCACTATGCAACCACTACACTTAGACTTATACTTTGTACTGTATTTGCTTTGAGTTTTGAACTTTCAAGTGGTTTCTGAACTCACACTACAGACTTATCAGGCAGTGTGGATGAAGTGGTTTAGCTTTTATCTTAAAGAATAGCCTGACATTTACGTCCGAAATCCGCTTATTCGCTTTCTTGCTGAGGACTTGATAAGAAGATTGATACCATACTTATGTCTATCCATTAAATATGAAGCTACAGCCAGCAGACAGGCAGCCTAGCTTAGCATTAAGACTAGAAGCAGGTGGAAACCGCTAGCATGGCTTTGACCAACAGTAAAAAGAATTAGAATGTAATTAGGATTTTAATTAAATTGAATTAATTTAGGTAAATTCATACATGTAATACATATGTAACATGAATATTCTCTGAGCATTAACTTCCTGGATTTCAATAGAGAGCCCGTGGACTGAGTGCTGTTTCCGAGCATCATAAAACAGTACAATTATTAGCAACCTTGGTCCAAAATGATCAGCGTCAGTATCGGTTTTTTGAAACCCTATACTGGTAGGTCACTATCGCAGTCGGTTTGCCTGTTTTATGTTTTGCTCCAGCCTCTGCATACTAAATACATTATCGAACCTCCTCAGCAGCAATAAAACACAGTATAAAATGCTGGCAGTGTTTTCTCCTTAAGCGCTGAACAAACCCAGCAGATCGTAAAAATGATGCAAGGACGCTCACAGTGAGCAGAATTCTTAGTAAGTGCTTACATACTATGCTTAAATCCAGAATAACTGACTACTGGCCATGGCCCAAGCTATTTCCATGCACCTTGATAACTTGTGATAGAGTGCACCACGATTCCATGAATAAACCAATTACACAGTGGTCTTCAATTCTGGTCGTCACCCTGGTTTTCTTCACTACCGCCTCTTTAATTGCATTCACTTGCGGCCCCTGGTGTGAATCAGTCCCTGATTAGACTGAATGAAACTAGCAGAGCACTGGGTGCAGAGTACTTGGAATGAGAGCCACTGACCTCAGGTGTCCCATCCCAAACAGAATATGGGCCACAAGCAAGTATGAAAGGGAGAAGCTGCCAGCTGCCTGCTCTCTAATTGACTGAGGTTACTTTTAATAGAGGGGAAAGAAATTATTCATGTATCAGCAAAAGGATGGAAGAAGTGTACATGCTTAGATTGAAGGATCTGCTAAACAAAAGGGGAAAAAATAAAGGAGGATATTTACTGAAGAGCACACTAAGCACTTACTGTGTACTAAAATTTAAGGAGCACATCTGGTCCCATTTGAGTGATAACTTTACTAGGACCTGATGTTCAAATCAAGTCAAATGCAGAGTAGCAGAAGTGCTAATACAAATCTACTGCGTGTTTGGAACCACAGTCAGTCTGAGTCAGAGTATGAGCTGTGCTGGAGTTGGAGTGCTGGGGAATTTTTTGAAAAATAGGAGCACTAGTGTTCCCTCTCGCTCCAGGATACTGTTTCATCCCATCTGCATTGATAGCAGATTTTGCCTCACTTTGTTTGAGTGAATTTGACTGCTGGAGTGTTTGTTCAGTCTGTGTTTTTTAGCCACAAATATCCAACAGATGCATTCCCAATAAGAACATGCACCTATATGTGTGTGTGTGTGTGT